TACAGAACTCTGAGGCTCAGGAAGGAGGATCCTAAGTTCAAGCTCAGCCTAGGCAACTTAGTGACTTAGTGAGAACTTGACTCCAAAGATGAAAAAGGGCTGGGCATGAAGTTCTATGTGAAGGCCCTGGTTTCAATTCCTGTTATGGCTAAATAAAAAAATGCAGTAAAACCAGGTGTGGCAGCACGCACCTGTAATCCCAGCAATTTAGGAGGCTGAGGCAGGAGGATCACCTCAAATTCAAGGCCAGCCTGGGCTACATAGTAAGTTCAAGGCCAGTCTAAACTACATAGCTGAGGCAGGTGTGGTGCATGCCTGTAATCCCAGAACTCGGGAGGCTGAGGCAGGAGGATCACCTCAAATTCAAGGCCAGCCTGGGCTACATAGTAAGTTCAAGGCCAGTCTAAACTACATAGCTGAGGCAGGTGTGGTGCATGCCTATAACCCCAGCACTCAGGAGACTGAGGCAGGAGGACTGTTGTGAGTTCAAGACCAGTCTGGGCTACAAAGTGAGTTCAAGGCCAGCCTGAACTGCATAGCGAGACCCTGTCTCAAAAAGACCAAAAAAAGAAAAAAAAGAAAAAAAAAGAATGTACCAGAACATAGTGCACAAATGAAAAAGCTTTCTCACTGCTGGAGTGGGGGTTTTCAAAGAAGGAAGGGGAAAAGGCTAGAAGTGAGCCATGGAGTGATGGAAGAACTAGGGATAAGCATTATAAACTCATGTCTACCTACAGCAGACGCAGATGGGCACACGGGGAGGTATGTAAAGGTCTGTGGGCGCTGGGGATTTAGCTCAGCGGCACAGCGCCTGCCTGGCAAGCGCAAGGTCGTGAGTTCGATTCCCGGTGTGGGAAAAAAATAAAAAAATAAAGGTCTGTGTGTGTGCCCTGTGAAGATGCACGTATGTTTCGTTGCTGGCAGTTCAGAGAATCCAGAAAGCAAAGACATCCATTCCACTAACAGTGAGCACACCCAGCAGCAGATCTTGGTCTCTAACACCAATCCCCAATGAAAGATGCAAGGGTGCTTGGAATGGCTGAATCTAGGGCTCCACAAAACACATTCAAGATGAGCCAGCACCCCTTGTAGCATCAGAAAGTAAGGAAGTGCTCAAGAACCGATTCCCACCATGCCGCGGGCTGTCACAGGCACATCAGAACCATGAGACGGAATCCTCCACTGCTGGAGTAAGAGCAATTTGCAATAAAGATCAATAAGTAGTGTTGGATTATAAAGCAAAATCTAATTATCCCTGGGCCGTGACAAATACAAAAGCATAAATAAATAGAAAAAAGCAAATCCATGAGCGGGACCCAGAAGCATTCCAAGTAACTCAGGCAGATACTCCGCCCTCCTTAAGGAAGTGGAGCATCACACCTCCTCCTCCAGGGCAGCTCAAGCATAGCAACTTCCCTCTAAGGAGCACCGCACAGAAAAGGAGAAAATCTCAGCCGTGGCCAGGAGTCAGGTTCAACATCAACAGAAATAAGGCCCTTGATACGCCGCTACGAGTGCAGCACTTTACCTCAGTAGTCTGAAAAGTGATGATCCCCAAAGTGATGACCCCAAACCAGGCACAGTGACAGACAGCTATAATCCCAGCCACTCAGCAGGAGGCTGAGGCAGGGAAGATCACACAAGTTCAAAACCAATTGGGGCAAACACAGTGTGATCCTGAGAAACATCAAACAAACCCCAGCTGAGGGGCATCCTATGAAAGACCTGACCAACCCTCCTCAAAACCGTTAGGTCAGATCTGGGGGGCGTGGTGGCACACACCTGTAATCCCAGCACTCAGGAGTCTGAGGCAAGAGGATCACTGCGAGTTCAAAGCCAGTTTGGGCTACATAGTGAGTTCAAAACTAGCCTGAACTACATAGTGAGACCCTGTCTCAAAAAAAATAGCTAAAGACAAAAAGGTTTGGGGATGTAGCTCAGTGTCACAGCACTTGCTTAGCATGACAAGGCTTTGGGTTTGATCCTAGGACCTGGGGGATAGGGAGGTCCTTAATGGAAAAACTCCGGAAATCTGTTTGGTGTTATGTTTGGTTTTTGTTTAATTTTTGAGACAGAGTCTCACTATGTAGTCCAGGCTGGTCTTGAATTTGCCATGTTTCTCCCACTTAGCCTCCTGAGTGCTAGGATTATAGGCATGTGCCACCACACCCAGCAGGAAATCTGAATAAAGATGGGATTTAGTTATGTAATGACATCAACACTGATTCAGTAATTATGATAACTGTGTCATACCAATGTGTGATGCTAATAATGGGGGGAGAGATATGAGAAATCTCAGCTCTGTCCTTGCAACTTTTCTGGAAATCTAATACTATAAATAAAATGTATAGGTTTGGGTTTTTTTGTTTTTTATGGGGTTTTTTTTGCCTTTTTGTGACAGGGTCTCACTATGCAGTTCAGACTGGCCTTGAGCTCACTTAGTAGCCAGGCTGGCCTCCAACTTGCAAGGAGGCCAGTGTGGTGGTGCACGCCTATAATCCCAGCACTCGGGAGGCTGAGGCAGGAGGATCACTGTGAGTCTGAGGCCCACCTGGGCTACAAAATGAGTTCAAGGCCAGCTTGAGCTGCATTGCAAAACCCTGTCTCAAAAAGGCAAAAAAAAGAAAAAAATTTAAATTAATTTCAAAAATAAAAATAAACTCCTTCAAGTCTAGCTGGCCCTGGAAAGACTGCATGACATCTGTGATGAACCTGAGTCACCGGAAACACTAGCGGGACCCAAGACAGCACGTTCTGGGCAAAGGGCACACGGGCCCCGAGGACAGGAGGGAGGGCACAGGGTCATCCCAGGAGGCAGCTCACCACGCCTTCAGACCTGAACCTAAAGGTGCCAGAAGTTCAGTGGAGGGAGTCAGCAAAACAAAATGCAAGAATGTTCTGGCTGCTGAAGACAGAGGTGGGGAACAGGGCACCGGACAAAAAGGGATGACAGTCGCTCGTATCAGTCACAGTTCAGGCAGCAGCGGGAGAGACACTAGGTGACAAGGTAAGCGCACCCAGGTACGTGCCACCTATGAGACAAGCTGTCTCCACATGCAGAGAGGGGCTGAGCAGGCCCGCATCCGGCCTGGTGACCCTCTGGGACCAAGACCCTTCTGGAAAAGTCTCCACTCAGGGCTCTGGGGCACTCACTGCAGGTACATCCACTTCCTGGGGGGCATTCTCAGTTGGGTCCTGCTCTGCCACTTAACACCTGCGAGATGTCACCATCTGGAGCCTCAGTTTCCCCATCTGTAAAGTGGGAAGGACACTTCCTACCTCAGGAGAAGAGGAGTTGAACTAGAGAAAGTCCCAGGGTGAGCACCAGCCTTCACAAACACAAGTATCATTTTTATACGGAAGCCCAGGGAGGAAGGAGCCTAGGAATCTCCAACAACCCATTCTACAGACAGAAGCAGAGACCACCCTCCCTCTGCCCCCACATCTCCACAGCCCACACAGGACTCGGGCCACTACAAGGGGCCAAGCGGCACTGGCTCCAGGGGCCTGGTACCTCCAAACAGCCCTTGGGGATGGTCCTTCCTTCCCTGCAGGGCCCAGGGCTCGGCTGTGATAAGGTTGGGGCTCACCTGGCTCCCGGCCCTGCCCACCCTGCCTGCCGCAGCTGGGCCTCACCTGACCATCTGCCCCTCAGCTTGGCCCAAATGACACGCTGTCTTATAAAAACCCTTGAGGAGTCTTCTATTTCAGAAGACTTGGGGAGTCGCTCCTTGCGACATTCTGGCTGGATGGAGGAGTCTCCTTGAGCCATCCCCGCCGCACTCCATGCTCCAGACCCCTCCCCGCTGGCTCGGCTCTGCTCTGCTTGGCGCAGAGGATCCTCAGCAGCATGGCCAGGGAATCTAACCCCATGAGACAGCCGTGCAGTCTGGAGATGAACATTTTCGCCAACATCCTAAGATCGAAAAATGCTCCACTAGCTCACTGTTAAAAAAGCAACCTGGGACAGGGGAGATATATAGCTCAGCGGCACAGCACCTGCCTGGCAAGCTCAAGGTCCTGAGTTCGATTCCTGGTACCAAAAAATAAAAATAAATAAATCTGACTTTTTTTTTTTCCCAGTACCAGGAATTGAACTCACAACCTCGCACTTGCCAGGAAGGCGCTGTACCGCTGAGCTAAATCCCAGCCCCTCAAATCTGACTTTTATTAAAATATAAAATAGAGCTGGGCGTGGTGGTGCACGCCTATAATCCCAGCACTCTGGAGGCTGAGGCAGGAGGATCGTTGCAAGTTCGAGACTAGCCTGGGCTACAAAGTGAGCTCAAGGCCAGCCTGAACTGCATAGTAAGACCCTGTTTCAAAAAGATAGACAGATAGATAGATAGAGGCATGCATGCATGCACTGTGAAAGCAAAAGTGAATAACTCCTCCCATTTGAGAAGCCCCAGAAATGTCTCACAGGCCAAAGGAAGAGCACCAACCTCTCACTCAGAAGACTGGACAGGCTCCTACAGCCTGTGAGCACAACACAGGCCGTGCTTGCTCTAATTTGCTGCATTTTGCCCTAAATGCAAATATGCCCCAGCATTCCAGAAAGTACTTCCTTTTTATCTCTAACCAAGACCACCGCTTTCCAATGAAGTGGGCCAACCTCATCCCACTTCTGAGATTCCAGAGGGGCCAGTTGCTGAAATCAGGAAACCAGCAGCAGCTGCGAACTCCAGTGGCTTCCAAAACATGCTTTAAATTCTGATTCCTGAAAGAATCACCCCGGGGAGAGGTAGCCAGGCATCCTCGACCCAGACGCACACCTACAATTTACTGTCAGGACAATTCCTACACAGCCACGCGAGGGAAAGAAAATCAAAAAGACTTCTCTGGAAATTAGGCCCATCCATCAAGGGGTCTGCATCTCACAAGCCGAGGAGTTGAGAGGCAAGCTCAGCTGGCCACACTTCAATGCTCTCTCCAACAACAAAAAGAAATTCCCATTTCCTCCTGAGCACGGGAATAGAGAATGTAAGGTTTTTACTCACCTTTGGAGCGAGTAGAGATATCCATGCCCTCTACCACCTCCTGTTCTGTTTTTATTTCCTCTTCAGCCAAGCTGAAACAGAGCAAATTACGTTCATGTTTAGGTAGGCTAAGAACCCGCCCCATGGGGGCAGCTGTTGAGATGCCTGGCCGCAACCCACCTTTAAGACAATGCCCCAGCCTCATCCAGGGGTGGGGTAAGGAACACACCTGATTTCAACAGTGTTAAGATTCCTGAAGGACCTCTTTAAAACACGAGGCGCTTCTTTCATAACACTGTCTAAGTCAAACTACTTGCCCCTTGCCATGCTACTGGGGGGATACAAAACAGACTATCTTTCTCCATACACAGTTACAGTCTGCCCCCTTGGGCCCAGGGGAGGCCAGCCTTCAAATAAACAAGTTTCTCCCGGTTAACACCAGGTTCCAAAGCGGACGGGTTGGAGATGTTGCCTGGGGTACCCAGAGTTCTGATCTCTAAATTCTGTAAGATGGAGTTATCTATCCCCAGGCCTCCTCCCTTAAATTTTCCAATTCCCTGATGAGGCAGGAGCGTGAAAAATAAAGATATAGGTTAAATGACACAGTCCTGTAGAAGAATGTGCCCAGACTCGCAGCCAAAACAGTGCAAACCAGCAGCATGTATCCAGGAATTAGAACAGGGTCTCTGCACTCCCGCCCACCAGCACCTCCTCCTTAGACACAGGCCTGGCTGCCTTTTGAACTTCGACTAATTACCCCCCACCACAAAAGGGGAATGAGGAAGCTTAAAAGACAGGCTGAGAGTGGAGGGTCAGGGAGCAAAGGGAGAAAAGTGAGCCCCCTTGGCTGGGAAGATCTGTATTCTAGAACTCTCTCTCTTTCTCTCTCCCCCATCCCTTCTCTTTCCCCCTCCCCCTCCCCTCCCCTCCCCCTCCCCTCCCTTTCTCTCTCTGCTGGAACCGGGTTGAACGAGAGCAGGCCATTTCAGGTCTTTCCCCGGGGACACCTTGCCTGCCAAACCGAAGGAAGAAATGAAGTTCTGCTTTTATAGATACAAATGTTGTGAGGTGCTAGAACTTTCCAAGCATTCAGGCTGACACTGCTGTGGTAGGAATCTGAGCAATCACTAGATGTAATTCCATCAGACCATGGTTTAACAAGAAGAAATGGGTTCATCACCAATTGATAGGGCTGGAATTTTCCATTTGGAAGACTGAAAGCCAGGACAGGAAGAAGGCTGCAGAAGAATGTCCTGTCTGTGTTCCGCGGTCTGGGACAGTGACAAGGCAAAAGATGAGTCCAGAAAGGCAGCCTCAGGCCTGGAACCCCAGGGTAAGATGGAGACGTGTTTAGGAGAGTTCCAGGTTTGTTGGGAGGAGAGAATTCAGGATGGGCGCTAGCTAGAAAGGAAAAGATGATAGCTCAGAATCAAATTATAGGAGCGTGGAGGCCTCCAACTTAACCAGTCCCAGCAGAGAGGAGAAGAGAAAGTAGTGTAGGCTTCAATCAGAACATTAGCACATTTAGCATTCTGATACTGAACCTCGCTATTGCATTTACACAGCATCTGTAGGGAAACCAGGGACACAAATCACCAAAGAAGCAACTGACATGTTGTCACAAATGGTTTCCATCAGGAGAGAGCGGCCTGCTAAATTTAAACACAGAACATGCAATAATACAACATGATTTACTGAAGGTGGTTTGACCACTGTCTACTCCAACTTCAGAGAAAAGCCTTCTCGACTGAGAAACACTGCCTGGAACAAAAGGTTGTCCATCTAGGCGCTGCTGATGGGGTGGGTGGTTCTTCCTTGGAGTGACTGGAAATACATTTTCACAAAAAGCCGCCATACAGTTCTCAGGGAATGGGTAGATGGTTAACTTCAAAAGAGCAAACAGCAACCTTGATCTTTCTAAAAACTCGAATTCTGCTTCCCTCTCTAGCGTGAAGTATGTGAAATCTTAAACTTCTTGAAACTGATCCCATATTTTGAGCGATGGAGAAAAATGCTAATCTGTGCTCCAACCAAAACGTACAGTGGTGAAAGAAACAATTACACATAACAGAGCCAAAAAAACCCACTTGAAGGAGTTCTGCTGTGATGAAAACATTCAAAGGTGTATTGATCACGGAGGAGGAATGCATTCAAGAGAACAATTATTTGGCTTGTAGCAGCCTAGAGGAGCTCAATACTTAAGGCAGGAATGCCGCTGTGAGACTAAGAAATGCAAATAGTTATGGGGTAGCTGTTTGCTGCTGGGTTTCAGATGATCAATTCTCAAGCAGAAGAGAAAGGGGGGAAAAGTTAAGCCGTTTTATCTTTCCAAGTATTACAAGTGGGCACCATAATCACCTTACTTTAGCAACAGCACCACCAGCTTGAGCCCAGGATTTCAAGCACAACAATTTAAGAAAACCATCTTTTCAGAGTTCAGCAAACCCTCCTTTGAAAGGGAACCGTGTCTGTGTGTGCACACACCCACACACTCAACTTGGATTTGACTAAAGGAAATTGCAGTGTATATGCATTAAAAGAAAAAAAAAAAACTTCATTTACAAAAGCAAAGACCAGAATGCAAAATTAGTCATTTCGAATAGCCACATCTAAAGGACTTCCTTTTTTTTTTAACACCACTGATCTCCGGTTTTGTTTTGCTGGCTTTTGCTGGGTGTGTGTGTGTGTGTGTGTGTGTGTGTGTGTGTGTGTGTATGTTCCTTAATTTTCTGGGTTAGTGTTAAGTAGTAATACATTATCAGGACAAAGGGGGGGAAAACTATGAATATTATATCAAAAGTGGTGAGAAGAAAAGATCCGTACCTGTCTGAATGCCCCACAGATCTTGGTCAGTTTAGGTTAACAGCTGTTCAGTGATAAGGGGGAAAAATAATCAAGTAATTTTTAAAAAGAAAAGGCAGCCGCATCTGGAGAAAATACTTTGAACTTCTGCCATTAACACATTAAAGTCTTAGAAAATATACAGCTTCTCTCCTTCCATGTCTGCTAGCTTCCAGGAACCCTGATCATTTGAACCAAAAACAAAAGAACAAGAAGTACTGTTTTCAAACTGACATTGCTTTGCTTTGCTTTTAATGTCTATGGAGACAGGGGCCCCACCAAAAGTAAAACGATTGAAAACCAAACAGCCTTTCCTCCCAAAAGGAAAATTCACTATCAAGTAGTTGTATATACATTGTATCCTCCACCACCACCATCACCACCACCACTACCACCACTACCACCACCACCAGTACCATCACTACCACCACCTCTTGCCCTCACATTTACCCAAGTCACTTGCCTGTGGATTTCACAATCTGATACATTTCAGACAATTCAAAGAAGAGCCAACAGCACCTGCAAACACAACCAAGACCATCCCCTTCCCTCCCCAAAAGAATAAAAAGCTTCTTCCCCAGTGCCTGGGCAAGAAAGCTTGCTTACTTCTTCACCTGCATGCACTGAAAAAAGAGCAATTAAAAGTTGCAGATGAATTGCTGCACCTCCAGGATGCTTTAAGCCTTCTGATGATTAATTCTGAGGACTCAGGGCTGGTCCGTAATTCCCAGGAATCTCATCCCCTCAACACTTCCAAAAGAGAGAGAAAGAGAGAGGAAAAAAAAAAGAGAGAGAGAGAAAGCATCTAGTTTTGACCAAAAAATGCCTGGATACACAATGCCCAGATATTTCTTTTCCCCAAGTGCCCTCACTATTGACTTTTAACCAAGAATCTCTAACCCATCTAGAATACATAACCAGCATGCACAAGAGTCTGGTTCTCAGATGAGGATCATCACACAGCATTTCAAGAATCATGCATCATTCGAGAGGACTTTTCCTGGTTTTTTACTTTCATTCAAAAAAATAAAAAATAAAATACCAAAATGGTCCAGGCTTTAAGAAATATTTAATCCCCAAGGCATAATATCTTCCTCTTCTAGATTATAAAAGAGTTAACATTAAAATAACAAAAGCCATGCTTCCCTAAGTCTGCAATTAATTTTTTTTAAATGGGTGGGAGAGAGAATGGTTAGCAGAACAGCTTTATATAATAAGCACTCACCTAAAACAGGCAGAGTCATCGGTAGCTAAGCTATTTATGCAGGATTCTTAAAATGGCGTCTGCCAACAGTGCCTCACTCCTGTACTGGAGCTAAAATGGTAGCAGTTTGTTCAATAGCTGAGCTTGTGTTTAAGCAGCCCTGCTAGTTTCAAAGCCACCTTCCTAAATATCACAACTAGGAAAACCTCAACCAAAGGACACCAACAACCCAATGTTAGAAGCTTTGAAAAAAAAAAAAAAAACTGCAATGACAGGGAGTTTATGAAGTCACAGGTTCCTAAGGAAAAGCCTTCCCTTTTAGATTCTGAAGCTTCAACAGGAGCTCTGTGCTGGGGCCCCCTTGCCCTCGAATTAGGTGGGTGGAAGGTTAGGAATTACGCAGCCCCGTGCATAAAGTGCAGACAGGTGTCTGTGTGCACACACGCAAGTGTTCCAGGGAGCGGGCTTGGGAGGAGGTGCGGGGGAAGAAACCCATTCCCCCTTCTCAGCCCATGGGAAACCAGCTCAAATGCATACCACCAAGCAAGGTAAAACGAAGGCTCTTCCAGAACAGTGGGCATCTGAAAAGCTGAGCTAGAGGGCTGCCCCTCAGTCTGAGGCCAAGGTAAAATAAAAAGGCTCCTTATGAAGCCTGAACCCGGGCCCCCAAGTAGCAGCCCTCCACCACGGCAGCCATTCCTGAGGCAGCTAACACGAAGGAAAGGCAATCTTGCGGAGGAGAAACCCAAGTCAACGCTCCCTTTCTCCCGTGCACAGGACAGTCACAAATTAGATTTCTGTCTACCCGCAAGAGAGCCCTGAGCATTAACAATGGGTTTTGAGAAACCCCCGCTTTCCGAGGCCGAACTAATAGCCTCATGGTGGCTAATGTCATTTACTGGTAAGGTCTGAGAATTGGCCTCGGAATTCCTCTGGTGCTGGGAGTGGGGGGTTTCAAGGTGACTGCTTTCCAGCTCCAGGAAAGAAAGGAGGGCACAATGCTCAAGGCCAACCCCGGGCGAGGACGGGCTGCTGGCTCTGTGCCGGCCGGTAGGTAGGTGATCGGATGAGGAGGGGCAGCCTGGCAGCGTGCTGGCTGCAGAGCTGGCATGGCCACCACCTGCTTGTTTCTGTAAGGACAGCAAAGCGGGGGAAGGGCAACCATGGTCTGGCAACCTGAGGCCGAGGGCGAATCCTTCCTTGTTTTTGCATTTTAAGAATAGAATGCAGGGTTCTAAACATACTCCCCTTCCACACCTCTGCTGTGGGATGAGGAAGGTCCCCTGGAATGTATCTTCCTTTTGGGGTCAACCAGAGGCAAAGTGAGATCTAGGGCTGACAAATGTTTTGCTGCCTCTGCCAGGAGCTAAGAGAAGGGAAAGGAAGTAAAAGGCACAGGGAGAGATCACAGTTTGAAGTGACTGGGGTTCCCAAAACCCACCTTTGCCCTCTGTTTTTTAGGTGATTGTCACCCAGCTTTCTAAAAGGTGACTTAGTCTCCCCCCATGGCCTCTGTAAGACCTGATGTAGTTTCCCCGCTGGCCCTCCCAGGGAAAAAGGGGGATGTTTTCTTTAAAAGAGGGGTTACATGAAAGAAAGGGGGTGGGAGCTATTGTTTCCATCCCTAATTTATAATCCAAGAAGCCACACTGTTTCTCTCTTTCTGACTCAAATCTTTGCGCTGTTAATTATAAAAGTAACTGGACTGGACTCCAACAGGCTAACTATGTTCATGCTCAGCAATTAGAAAAACTTGAAGAAAGTTTACTGAGTGATTATATATAATTAATTCCTAGTTACAGACTGAACACTGACCATTTTCTGGAGCTAATAAAAGCTGTTGCTCCCCCTCCCCCATGTGAATGCCACTTAATTTCCGAAAGCAGAAAGTGCACCCATTCTGGAGGGTCTTGAAGGAAAAAAGAGGGAGAGAGAGAAAGAGGGAGAGAGAGAGGAATCAAAAGCTCCAGTGTGTCTGTGTTTGTTCCTTGCAGCTGTGCATCCTCTTTGGGGACTGAGGAGGCAGAAGGAAAAAGGAAAACAGCCCATCCTTCTGTTCCTCCCTCTGCAATTTACAAATGTGGCAGAGGGAACATTCTACCTTGATGAGAAAAAGGGAGGGGGAGGGGAGGCGCCTCAGGAATGGAATGCAGGAGACTTCAGCTTGGCGAACTGCTTTTCCTAAAAGGAACAGAGATGGTGGAAATTTCCAGAAGACATATCCTCAGTCCGCCCACTTCAATTGTCAATCTTTAGCAATTTCCTCCAGGTCCAGGGGTGTGAGAGTGACAGAAGCGGGGAGCCGCACTGGGGTGTCCTGTGGGACAGTACTGCTGTCCCTACCTGGTGCTACTGCAATGCAGACATTTACTGTTTCCCTTTAGTAACTGGAAAACAATGCTACTTGGAAAGTAATTAACTTTTTACTGACCCATGGTTGGTGGTAGCCATAGTACCAGAGGAAAAGTATCCCAGCTTGTTCCAGGGCTGGGAACCTGCTAGGGCTGCACACTTGAAAACAGGTCTTGGCTTTCCAAACCTGTAGGAGCCATTTTAATGCAAGCTTTCAGAGGACAAATGCATTTGCACTTAAGCCTCCTTCCAGCCCAACAAACACAGTATTATGCAAACGTTGAAGGAACCAAACCAGGAGTCTTGTGATTAGATATTGTTCTAGGGAGGCCACAAGAACCTCAATATGCAATTTCCATTTACAGCAAGGAGATCAGAACAAAGAAAATAGGTAAGTGTGTGAACTTGTATGGGATCAGGGGTACAGTGCAGTTTTAAGTACATGTTGTAAACTACCCTCACTTTTATTCTAAAAGCCTGGCTCACCTTACACAGACTCCTTAACTCCTACTGCAATGCCATTTCTCCTTATTAAAGGAGCCTTTTTCCCACTGGTGTCAAAAGTTTGGGTTGCTGGGCACTAGAAAAAAGCTTACCAACCCCATCAAGTTAGCCTCACACACCCCGTGAATAGATTTCCACGTTTCCAGCCATGCTGGATTGGTCTCCAAACTGAAAATTTATGTGGTGAACTCTCAGAGAAATTCCAAAGGGAAGGCTAAGCAAAAGTCTACTTTTGTCACTTTTAAATTCTAGCCACATCATCAAGAGATCAGGGGGAAATGCAGAAAGTGAGAAATAAATCCTATGTATGGCCAGTGAACATACAGATGTATGGATCAGGCTTGGAAAAAAGGCTGAGTCTGTTGGCCAGTGTGCCCTGAATCAAAACAAGTTTGGTGGTAGATGGGATTTCGCAATATACATGTAAGAATCCTAAACCGTAAGTACTGATACCCCACCCACACATGCAGGCCACCACCAGCAAGCCCCCCACCAATGTCTATAGGGCTGTGATCCTAAGAACAAGCAGTTTCATTACATTCCACACGCAGATCACCTACCCAGAGTCCTAAAATCCAAACAAACCCAATTAAAGGTCTACAAGCAAGTCACAATGAACTGAACATTTCTGCCCAGGCTGAGGGTAAACAGGAAGTGAAATCTTCAATCCTATCTGCAGGTTATCAGGAAAAACTGGATTCAAACAGTCACTTCAACTCAAAACACCCTTTTTAAAAAAGCCCTTATTTTGTTCCCACTCGTGAAGCCCCCCCACCAACTCCTGCAACCAAGAGCCCCTACTACAAACAGATACCAAATGTTTCCAAAACTCTTGATACACGGTCACAGAGGAAATGGTTTGCTTACTTACCCAACCAATGTTCAAGCAACCGTCTCATTTTTCCACAGTTAGGAAGAGAGAACAGGCTGGCAGATTTGGGACTTGATCAAAAAGGAAATTTTTTTAAACAGTTACATGATATTATTAAAAACACACACCACCACAACAACACAACTCAACAACTGGATATGGAATGCTGTCATGAACCACACACATGATTTTATTTCCTCTGCACTCTATCACACCTGACAGAGGATGATACAATGTAAAAAAGGTGGGGGGGGGACAAGGAAAATGAAAATAGAGATAAAAGATACATTAGTTCATTGAAAACCATGCAAGAGTAGAAAGCTAAAGCATTCAGAGTCCTCCCAGATTTCTGCAGGATGTTGTCCAAGATCTTCCCCCACCCCCCACCCCAGAGTCCCCATCCAAAAACTTCCTCCAGAGCCTACAAAACACTTTCAGAAACATTTGCTGGCTGTGGGCTGGCTTGCAGAACACTCTGTATCAAGCTAGGTCAGGAAAAAAGGCTGAACAATGTAGTTTCTCCAGTGAGAAGCTCTGTAGAGGAAGAGAAAGACCATGTACAGACGCCAGCACCCACCTAGGCCCAAGGAGCTACTCTCAGTTCCCTAGCACTGCTCTGCTCAGAGCTGGGTTCTGTTTCAAACACGGCCTGCCTTGTCAGAACTCACTCCAGCCTTCCCAGAACCTCTCTGGAGAGGCAAACTTGCCTGCCCTGCTGTCTGCCATGAGCGCTCCTTGGAGAGGAGCCTGCTTGCTTACCTTCCATTTTCTTCCCCCAGCAGGCATGTGACACAGAGCAGACAATAGTGCAGGGGGGAAACTGCTCAGAGAGAGACAGAGGGAGGGGGGAAAAAGAGGAGAAAAAAAGCTTCTCTTTTGGCATAGCAGGATCTAGCTTCAAACTATTCCAGAAACACCATGCCCTGGTGGAAGAAAAGGTGTGCCAGGCCCTTGCCAGTTTGCAAAATCAAGCTAAGGCTAATGGCTACTTAGCCATGTGACCCAAGAAAGCAAAAAAATTCTCTCTAAACAGTTCCAAGTTAACATAAGTGCTCTGGGGGCGAGTGTGGCACGGCCAGCCACAGAGAAATCACACTGCTCGCCCACAACTCGGATGTCTCAGAGGGAGGGGGAAAAAGATGGTTAAAAAGCCGAGCTTACCTCTGTGGATGCATTGTTAACACTGTGTAATGTCAATACTTATAAAACATGGAGGACAGGCTCCTAGTTCTCACAGAAAAAGGGTTTGGCACTTCGGCTGATGATCTGGCCGCCTAATGAAAGCTCATCCCCGATTGGCTGCCCCGGCAAATCGGAGTGTAAAGCCGCGCCGGATTGGCTGAAACACTTCCTGAGCGATTATCTTTGTGAGGCTCGGGTGAGCAAGAGCCATCCTGTGCATAGAAAAAGACAGGCTAAGCTAGGCCTTTTGCAGCAAGAAAAACTTGGGAAAGGGGCCCCTACACGCACTTCTCCCACACTCTGGCTAGATTTTCCGGCACTAGCAAACCCGTGCAGCCAGCCTGACCTGCTCAGGCAAAGCCTGGGGCCCTGAAGCCACTAGGAGGAGAGCTTTTGGGGTGGGCTGAAAGGGTTCACCCTCACCTGCCCCCACAGCCACGGCCCTTGGCTATGGAGGAAGGCTGGCCCTTTGCTAGAACAATTCAGCAGTGGTTCTCCAAGGGCAAAGGGAGCTGAGGAGTGAGGAGCCCCAGGGAAGCAGGCAAGGGGAGAGAGAAAAGGGGCAGGAGGCAGGCCTGTGAGGAGAAACGGGCAGCCAGGGAGAGCCAGGCACCAGCAAAAGGCAGTCTGGCTTCTCAGAGCGGAGGAGGCGGCGGCAGCGGGGAGGAGGGGAAGAGTGGTCAAGTTTGCATTGTCATTGTCAAAATGCCTCCTCCTGGAAAAGCAGGCCAGGCAGCCATTTGCCTGGCTGAGAGTCTAACCTTTCGCCCCCCTCTGCCAGTCCTCAAAGGAAAACCAAAATGGGTTCCTGCCTCCCTGCCACGATGCCAAGGGGGGCCCCCTCTCCATGCTTACCCTAAGAAAAGCCAAATGCGCTCCTAGCAGGCCACATGCCTCCATCTACAAACTTCCCTTCCCCTCCCGGCCCCCTCCCCCACCGCTGAGGCCTGCTAAACCTGTCAGTTAAACAAAAATCTGACTTCCGTATTAGTCTGCGATGCCTTCAGCTTCCTGCCTGTTAACCCTCTCTCGGACTCTGGGCCTGGCTGGGAAGAACTAGGCCCTGAGATCGCAGAAAAGGCCTGTGGAAAAATACCAGCTGCGGCTCTCCCGGCAGATGCAGAAAGAGAGAGAGAGAGAGAGAGAGAGCCGCTGTCTCTTGCCTCTGCTTCCCAAGGAGGCGTGTACCTTCCGAATCCAGGGCACAGGCAGTGCCTCTCGGTCTGAGAAGCCATTTAAATCCAGAGGGAGAAAGAAAGATGTCAAACCCGGCCGGGAAACAAGAGCCCCCATTATAGTCAGGCCTATACACCCACAGGTTAGCTCTTCCTGCCACAATCATCCCTGTATGTGTGCGTGTTCTTGGGGAACTGGGCCCTCCTCAGTGGGCAGACAAATCCCATGAGCTTCATAAGGATTCCTGCTTCAATTTATTTCCACAGAGAACGGCTCCTTTTCGTCCCCTAGGGCAGATGGAACAGCTATTTCACACACAGCCCTGCACTTGGCACCCCCCCAAACCCCCATCTCTGGCACTGCTCCCCGGTAAAATATTAACTAGTTTTTCAGAGCCGCTTATAATTCCACCCATTTCAATAGCATTAGTAGGTCAATGCCTATGTTCTCCTAAGCTGCCCTTGTAGAGAAGGTAAATCAAACAGGATCTGAAAATGTCCAAGCTTGCTTTCCTCTACATTTTATTTTTTCAACAAAGTGCTTAATTAACACGATTTAAAAAAAAAAAAAAAACCAGCAAGCAGGAACAACAGAAGCTAAATAAACACCTTTCTTTAGGGGCTGGAAGAAGCTGCCCGAGTTGACGGAGCTATATGCCGGGAGGTAAAACTAGGGAGGAATAAAGACTCCCCTCTCTTCTTAAAATTAGGACTGGTGGGCTTTCTGGTCCCACACTGCGCCCACAAAGAAAATGAAGAGCTGGTTGTTTACTCTCCGCCCTCCCCTCCATCTATCTGTTGTCCCCTGTGGACAACAGATGCCCACTGCAAGTCTATCAGTTCCTCCTGGCTGCAGCAGACAAGCTCAGGGTCGAGCCAGAAATCCAGACACACCGAACTGCGGGGCGGGGCCCAGGCTTTCGAAAAGGAACAGGATCGGGGTGCCCTTTTAGGCTACCGAGGGCCAGGATGCAGAGAAGGACATCACCACCACCACCACCCAGCCGGACAAAAGTCCAACACTCAAGACAACAGGCCTGGGCTTCCCCAGAGGCTATTCCTGGGGCCAGAAACCGGTACAGGGCCCAAACAGGAGCAGAGACGGTGGCCTGAGCTACTCAGGCTCTGCCCCCCTCCTAGCTGTGTGGGCAGTAGCCCTCCACCACCCTCCATATGGAATCCAGCTTGTTTCTTCTGTGGGTGCTGCGCTTTTGTGGAGTAACAGAAAAATGGGAGCAAGGTTAGTGGTGAGCTCACATGCAACTAACTCCAAGACTCAAGAAGGAAATGAAATATGCTGCTGGTGTGTGTGCACTGTGGATTTTAACCCAGGACTAAAGCTCCTTGCATAAGCAGCCGCAGCATCCTCCCCCTCTCCCCGATAACTTTTTTTTTTTCCCAGTACCAGGAATCGAACTCACAACCTCGCACTTGCCAGGCAGGCGCTGTGCCGATGAGCTAAATCCCCCGCCCTCCCAGATAACTTGATCACTTGAAATGTTTTCTGGGGCAAAGAGCAGGAAGCTGACGGCTTACTGTGGCAGCTCAGATCAGTTTGAGGAATGCTGCTGGCATTCGGGTAGGTCTGAGGTTATCTGGAAAATAGCAATTGGGCTGAGGACAGACGCAAGGTATGGTGGCAGATGGAATCCTGGGAGGGACGCAGGTTGAAAGAGACCCTGGGGCAGGCCCACTAAGAGCCTCTCCTGGCCCTGATGGAATGTGGCTGATACGCAGGAAATAAAACCAAATGTTGCTGGCCTCAGCGTAGAGACCCATTTGGTAGCCCTGCTTAAGGCCCAAATGCAGCAGCTACTAAATCAATGCTGCACACAGACTAATTTCAAGCAGGCAGGCAGCATTGTTAGAGACCTGGAACTGGGCCCAGAGAGGTGAAGCGAGCTGCTTGAGGTCACACAGCTGGCGAGTGCCAGGGTTCAGACTTCCAAGCAGTTATGACTCCATACCCCTAAAGCCTATGACTTCCCTGACTCTAAGGAGAGACACAAAAGCAAAGCCAAACCAAACACAGCAGAAAAAAAGCTAAATTCCCCAAACACCAAAGGCGGGACCCGGATTTGTTTCAGGAGGTCCACCCTTGAGATGGGCTTTTAGTATTGAATAAGGGAGCTGAGACTTTAGATTCATGCAAACACCCTTTTATCACAGGCGAGGGCCCAGAGAAAGCTGCCCTCTCTACAAACCTCGAGCAAAAGGACAGCGGGAACACTTTGTCTTTACAACGAGGCTGTTTATATTCCTGAAATCAGTAGTTCCCAGCCAGGGGCAATCTTGCCGCCAAGGGACGTTTGGCACAGTCGGGAGACTTTGGGGTAATCACTACTGGGGGAGGAGCCCTGCAAAGTGCCCCACAGAGCCCAGGACAGCACCACACAAGGAATGATGTGACCCACAATGTGTTACTGTGAGCAGGTTGGGAATCCCTGGCCTACGTGAAAAGGAAGAAACAAAATCCAGCCATTGTGCCTCTGAACAGGAAAGCCAGCACGGGCCTAAACAAATAGGCTCCTCGGTGATATTAATAAGCAATGAGCTAACAAGAATACATTAAAACATGTCTCACTTAATATTCCCAGGGAACAGAGAGAACCAGGGAGACAGAACGGGGCTGTAAAAGGCCAGGCAGAGTGTCACAGCAGTACTGCTGGCCTGCAAGGAGCGGAAGGGCTGGCCCCAGCTCCCTTCCCCAGGCCTCACTAGGCAGGGCCTGGCCGCGCTGGACGGCTCTCCAGCCCCTGGCCGGCTGCCAGGCGAGCAGCAAGAGCAGCGGCTTCAGCAAGCTGCATCCCGAGATAGCCTGGGCGGCTGGCAATGCAAATAAGCGCCCTTGGAGTTATCTGCCTCCAGCGAGCAGCAGGCTTCTCCGTCTGTTATGCGAAGTGGACAAGGTTGAGGCAGAGGAGTGTTTAAAAGACCTTACTTTGTTTGGTTTTGTTCCTTTTTGGCCAATGAGAAAGGAGGCCAACTTCGGGCCGGTGCCAGAAAGGCTCGCCTTCCGGGTGGGCAGGGAACTGGCCGGGAACTGGCCGCGTCAGGTTACAGCCAGCAAGAGGCAGAGAGGAGCTGTCCCTCCTTGGGAGGAGAGGGGAAGCTTGGTTGGTGTGCTTCCTTGCGTGTTTTTGTTTTACTTCGTTCTGGGGAGGGTCTGGCAGGAGGATTAAGCAAGGGATGCCGGGGAGACATACAGGGCTGGAGGAAAGGGCGGGCAGTGGATGGATGGTGTGCTCCATCGGGCAGATGGTCACAGCTCGGCAGGGAGGGAAGAGGCAACGATACAGGGAGAGGGACAAGATAAAAACCTAAAGGAGGAGAAGTCAGGATCCCCTGAAGCAGCTTATCCCCGCTCCTAACAGTTGCCGCTGTGGAAAGACGAGGACTGTATAGGTTTCTTTGCTGCGTTTGTTTCTCCCTCCTGCTAGACCAGTGGTTCTTGATGGGGAGGAGACTTTGCCTCCCTAGGGACATCTGGCACTGTCTGGAGACATTTTGGGTTGTCACATGTAGGAGGGGAGGGTGGGAGAGAGACACATCCAGTGGGGAGCAGCCAGGGATGCTGCCGCACACCCTGCTATGCACAGGACACCCCCGCCGCCGCGGGCCGGTCCTCTCGGCACCGCTGGCCTGGCTCAGAGCTCAGGAAAACACCATCTGCCCCTGGTCCCGGCAACAGTCTCCTGCCCGGGCCTCCTGTTCTGCCCTTGCAGACGCTGTGTACGCACATGCACGACACACAGGCTGCCCGGGTCCTTTGAAAGCACAAGTCAGATCCTGTCCCTCTCTCCCTGCTCAAACTCCAGCCATGTCTCCCATCTCCCTCTGGGTAAAAAACATGAGTTTTAAACTGGCCTGCCAGCCTCGCCACGGCTCAGTGTCCTGTGCTGATTCCCATCTCCCGCCACCCTCCCAGGGCTCACGCAGCTCCGGACACCCTGAACATCCGTCAGTCCTTCCCCCTGCTGACTTCCTCCTGCCTTCCTTGGAGCCTTTGCACTTGCTCTCCTGCTCTGCACCTCTGCTGCCCACGTCCCCACGTCTCCAAACCACCCAGCAGCAGCTATTTCTTCCTCGGCACGGGCGCGTCTGCTCTTCCTGCCGCAGCAGAATTCCCAGCCCTGTGGGAAACCCTCCCCAGCACCCTCTCTCTACCAGCCGCCTTCCCACCTAGCAGCGGCTCGGTGACCCGCCCCATCTCCTGATCCCTTCATCTCGCTCCTTCTTCCCCACATCAAGAGGCCGAGCCATGCGGTGGTTGAGTGTGTGGCTGCCAGGGCCGTGCCAGACTGTCTGGGTGAATCACAGCTGCGCCACTTGCCAGCTGTGAGGCCCTGGTTGAGGTACAAAATTCTACTCTCTGTGCCTCAATTTCCTCATCTGTACAGTGGGAGCTGTCACACACACCGCGCCCTCCCGGAAGCACTGGATGAATCATCCCCGTCACTCACTGAGCTTTGCTATTATCCCCTTCTCAGCGCATTCTAAAAAGGCATTTTCTGGATGCTTCCAACTCAGTCTCCTTCTTTTGCTATTTCCTTTCCAAAGGAGAATAAAGATGGATACTGAAAGCTATGCAGAAAGGAACACATGAACTAGGGAGCCCCGTTACCCTCCGGCTCTATCAGTGAGCACAAAGATCCTGATCAGCCCCATTTCCCAGGTGAGAAAACTGAGGCAGGAACTACGACTGGTCTCTTCCCCCTGGAAAACCTCGCCCAGTCTCCTTGGCCTCCCCACTCACCTGCTCTTCCCT